GTTTTGTACGCTCATGGAAGATAGGATTAGCTGCTATTTGTATTGCTGCTTTGCTATCACATACCATTTTTACTGGTACTGTTATATTGATTCCCAACTCTTTGTATAAGCCTATCAACCAGGTTATTTCAGCTGCACATGTGGCCATGCTCCTGAATTCTGCCTCAGCTGAGCTTCTTGACACAGTCCTTGCTTCTTAGACTTCCATGATATTAATCCTCCTCCAAACTTCACTAAATACCCTGTAACTGATTTTCTTGTTTCAAGACATGCCTCCCCAGTCAGAGTCGCAGTAAGCTATTAGCTGTGTAGTTTGTTCTGCTGGCATTAGTAATCCTAGACCAGGTGTTTCTTTGATGTATTTTACTGCTCTTAATGTTGCCTCCATATGTGACTCTTTAGGACAATGCATGAACTGGCTAAGAACTTGTGTAGTAAAAGCAAGATCCGGCCTAGTCATAGTCAAATAAAGAAGTTTTCCTACCAACTTTTGATACATTTCAGGATTAGCAAGTGGTTTATCATGGTCAGGACTTGAACCATTCACATGCTCATCATATTGAATTGATGTGAGTCTTTTGTTCATCTCCAAAGGTGTATGAACTGGCTTTGCTCATCCTAGTCCAGTTTCAAACAGCAGCTCCAAAGCATATTTCCTCTGTGTCATTAGGATGACCTTGTCTGATCTAGAAAACTCAATGCCTAAGAAGAATTTTAATTCCCCTAGGTCCTTCATTTTGAACTTCTTTTGAATTTCCTGTCTTGTATTACATAGGAGTTGGTGGTTGCTTCCAGTGACTAGAATATCATCTACATACACCAATATCACCACAATATCATCCACACTTTGCTTTGTGAATAGAGAGTAGTCATAATGACTTTGTTTGAACCCCATCTGGACTAGTGCCTCAGTTAACTTCATGTTCCATTGTCGAGGTGCTTGTTTCAAGCCATATAATGACTTGTGGAGTTTACAGACATTGTGACGCTCTCCCTGTCTAGCAAAACCACAGGGAATGTCCATGTAGACTTCTTCATGCAAATCACCATTTAAGAAAGCATTGTGGACATCCATCTGATATATAAACCATCATTTGGAAGCAGCCAAAGTAACCACAGACCGGACAGTCACCATCTTTGCCACAAGACTAAAAGTCTCACCATAATCAAGCCCTTCTTGTTGACTAAAACCTCGAGCCACAAGTCTGGCCTTGTACCTTTCAACCTTCCCAAAGGCTAAGTACTTAATTTTATATATCCATTTGCAGCTAATAGGCCTCTTGCCAGGTGGCAGATCCACTATGCTCCAAGTCTTATTGCTTTCCAGAGCATCAATCTTTGCTTGCATAGCCTGTCTCCATTTAGGATCAGTAGCATCCTTAAATGAGCTAGGTTCAGAAACAGCTGAGTAAGCACTCAAGGCCATTCTATATGTCGAAGACAAGTGATTGTAGGACATGTGATCTGCTAGTGAATAAGAACATGCAGTAGACTTAAGCTTAGAAACAAAGTCCTGCAGCCATAGAGGGGGCTTGGTGGACCTGGATGACCTTCTAGGAAGCACCTCAGGAGCTGGAGAAAGCACTGCAGGAGCTGGAGGAATCACCTCAGTAGCTGGAGGGAGCACACCAGTAGACTCAGGTGAGGCTGTTCTAGCACAATCAACAAAGGAAGAAGGTGAGGATTAAATCACTGGAGGTGGTACAGGAGAGACATAGTCCATAATTGAAAACATAGCATTAGGTGAGGCTTGGAGATGTCTGTAAGGAAACAAATCTTCTTGAAACACCACATGCCTATTTACAGAGAGCATTTTGGCATGAATATTATAAAGAATATAGCCCTTTTGTGTGGAGGAGTATCCCATAAACACAGTAGGAACAACTCTTGCAGAAAACTTATTAGGTTTTAGCTCGTGCAGAAAACTTATCAGGTTTCTGAGGACTTGCAGCATAGCACAAATACCCAAACACCTTGAGATGAGCCAAGTCTGGAGGATGCCTGTACAATTTTTCAAAGGAGGATTTGTAGCCTAGTAATTTTGTAGGGATTCTGTTTAAAATATAAACAGCAGTGAGAACACATTCCCCCCAGAATCTCAAAGGTATAGAAGCTTGAAACCGTAAAGCTCTGGCCATATCAAGAATGGTTCTGTGCTTTCTTTCAGCAACCCCATTTTGCTGTGGGGTATACACACAAGTAGTCTGATGTAGAATGCCCATGTTACTCAATAGAGTTTGAAACGCAGTGCTGAGAAACTCACAGCCATTATCAGACCTGAATGTTTTAACACTTGTGGAAAATAAGTTTTGAACTCTTGTAAGAAAATTCCGTAGAACAACTATTGAATCAGCTTTTGAAGCAATAAAAAAAACCCATGTATAGCTGTTGAAGTCATCTACAATTGTAACAAAATACTTCTTTCCATTGTGCATAGGAACTTTATAAGGTCCCCACAGATCACAATGAATCAATTCAAATACAGCAGTAGTGTTATGAACACTTAAAGGGAATGGAAGTTTAGATTGTTTAGCTACAGGGCACACAGTGCAATGAGAACAATCTGTGAAGTTTAGGGATTTGAGAGACTCATGCCTCCTTATTACATCAATCGGAGCATGTCCTAATCTCCTATGCCAAACATTACTAGAAACAGACTGATCAGATACAGGAGATACACTAGTAGTGTGAACTAACTGCTGTGAACTAGACTTGTGACTTGATTCTTCATGAAAGATGTAAAGGCCATGCTCTTCTTTACCAATCCCCTTCACCTGATCAGTGGAGAGGTCTTGGAAAATGCAAAAATCAAGAAAGAATGCTACCATACAATGTAATTCTTTGGTGAGTTTTGAAACTGACAACAAGTTGCATTTGAACTCAGGGATAAAGAGAACATTAGATATGGAGTTGTTTGTGAATACATAAGACCTTCCAACATGAGATACTGATGCATTTTTTCCATTTGGTAGGTGTACTTTACTATCTGTATGAGAATGTGTCTTCGTTGCTTTGTCAACAAGGTCCACGTTAGATGTAATATGATGAGAGGCTCTTGTATCAATAATCCATTTACTGCTACAACTACTACTACAAGATAAAGCTGTAAGAGAGCTATCTGCATTTGCAACAGT